ATATCTCGTTAATTACGCCTCGGAGACAATTTTTGTAAAGGAAAAAGTTGCTTCGAATGACCTCGGGAATCCCCCATTTTCCTCTATATAACTATATTCTACCCTCTTTCTAGCCTCTATATTCCAACTTAATCTCGCATCGAATGCGAGACGTATTATCTGCATAGACATATAATTCCATCGTTATTGATTTAAATTACTTAAAACGCGATAAATCGGTACCATTAAATTCTTCAAATATCTCCGCTTGCAATTTGCAATTTGATTTGCTTGCAATTTGATCCAATCGACTTTGAAAAATCGTTCGAACGAAACACCAAAGAATATTCGATCTAAAAAATCAGTCAACAGGCCGACGTCCAGCCCGGGAAAAGGGTTCGCCTGGGCGAAGCAAAATTTCTTTGCGCTTCGTTACACCGTTTCCCGAGGAAAAGAATTCACAGCGAGCCTGGCTCGCCCCGCCGCTTCTTCACTTCGCGGTTATTTATGGTTTTACTTTCGCGCGTCCGATGGCTGCCGACCGGGCAGATTGCTTTTTGATTTGCGCTTAATCGGGAAAAGTTATGGGCCCCCGAGAGATACGGTCGAAGGGGGGAGCGAGAGAGAAGGAGACTGTGTGTGCGCGCGTGTGTTCGAGCGCGAAGGAGAGAGAGAGAGAGAGAGAGAGTGCGCGCGAGAGGGAGGGGGTGGCCGGTCTCCACAAGCACGTAGCCCCCGCGTGTTAGGGGGCGTACACAACTAACGCGGCGGGCCGCATATTAAACCATAAATTCATGCGAGCTCTGGCCGCAATAGACGCCGAGTTATCGCGGCCAGGAGCGTGCGTGGCGTTACTTGAACGCGTCAGTTTTTAACGCGATTTTCATTTGGCCCCGGCCGGCCCCGTTCGCTTTGAATCCAATTTCACCGGGCGTATGTAACTTCCGGCTGTCAATTGCATTTTTTATCTCGTCGCGTCGCGGAAATACCCGACACGCCGCACCGGCGTGTCCTTTCCGGTTCCACTTTTGACGAGCTGCCATCCTCCCCCCCCCCCCCCCCCCCCCCCCCCCCCCACCCCCCCCCCCCCCGCCCCCTCCCCCCCC